CTTCTATCTCTCTCCCTCTCCCTTTCTCTCTCTCTAAAATCAATAAGAACGTTAAAAAAAAAAAAGTGTATGGTTCTTTGACAGTTCATTAATTTTGTTGTACAGCCGTCCCCACCATCCATAGCCAGAACTGCCGTCATCTTCTCCAACTAAAGCTCTGTCTGTGCTCACTGAACGCCAGCTCCCCCTCCCGCCCCTGGCACTCATCACTCCGCTCTGTCTCCACGAGTCTGACCACTTTGGGTGCCTCCTATTAAGTAGAATTAGACAATATCTGTCTGTTTGTAACTGGCTTGTTTCACTTAATGACTCTGAGGTTCATCCATGTTGCAATATGTGTCAGCATTTCCTTCCTTTTTACGGCTGGATGATATTCTAAGCACAAACCGCATTGTGTGTTTTCATTGATTCGTCAATAGACACGTGGGTCACTTCCACCTTTCGGCTGTTGTGAACAATGCTGCTGTGATCCCGAACAATGATCTCTTCAAGCCCTTGCTCTCATTTCTTTCAGGCACACACCCAGAGTGGAACTGCTGGATCGTATGGTAGCTCTATGCTTAATTTTCTGAGGGATCACCACACCATCGCCCAGCAGTGTGCAGGGTCCCAATGCTCCTGCATCCTCAGCAAAATGCTTTAATTTATTTGTTTGTTTATGTTAATAGCCATCCTGATGGGTATGAGGTGATATCTCAGTGTGGTTTTGAACTGCATTTCCACAGGGAGCCTTCCTAAGGACAGGATATTCCAAGTCCGTTTGCTCCAGGGAAGATGGTCACTGGAGAGGAACCTACGGTAGGTATGAAGCTGGCTCCTACCCCACTTTCAATCCCAGAGCTAAGCAGAGGCTCAGGCATCCTACCCCCCACTCCTGTGCTTACCCCCCAGGTCCAGTGGGATGGCCAGGAAGCCGGAGTTGTGAAAACCTGAGAGAGAGCAGGAGAGAGTAGTCTGCCCTGTGCCTGGAGAGGCCTCAGGCCGAAGAGGGAGATGGCATCAGAAACCACACGCTTCCCCTGCTCCTCTCGCCCCAGCTAAAGCTTTCACAGTCTATCCTGTGATGCTCAAGCATCCTGGGAAGGGAGCATGCAGGCAGGGGAGATCTTGCTATTTTTACTAGGACCAGGGCACTTTCTTTCTTTTTTAAAATATATTTTATTGATTTTCTACAGAGAGGAAGGGAGAAAGATAAAGAGCCAGAAACATCGACCAGCTGCCTCCTGCACACCCCCTACCGGGGATGTGTCCACAACCAAGGTACATGCCCTTGACCAGAATCGAACCTGGGACCCTTGAGTCTGCAGGCCGAGGCTCTATCCACTGAGCCAAACCGGTTTTGGCAAGGGGCACTTTCTACTAGGCAAAACTATGGGGAGACCAGGTATAGCTTCTGAGAGTAAGCCCTAAAACGAAAGAGCAAACTGAGGCTCAGTCTGGGGAATGGCCTTGCCCAGCCAGACTCACAGGGCACCTGAGAAGGCAGAGGAGCCAAAGTGAGGATCACTGTCCGGCTTCTTCCTGGCTGAGTTCCCGGGCCCCCTGCCTGGGGACCCGGCGCACTTCTTGCTCCAGTGCAGATGTCCTTGGAGTGCCACGTTCCTCTGTTTCTGGCCTATTGATCCTATAACTTCCCATGGCAACCGTGCCCTGCGGCTTCCTCTGCCTCACAGCCTGGGTACAGGCCCCAGAGCCTAGACAAAAGCACCAGCCACGTCCCCTGCCTGGGGATTCTGCCAGGAGGAAATGAGGCTTGTCTGGCATGACTAGCTCAGCCAGACAAACTTCATTTTCTTTCTAATGGCCTAAGAAGTTCCAGTTCTAGAAAGAAATTGGTTCCAAAGGGAGTCTGCACTCCCACCTCCGGGAAGAAATAAGAGCATGGATGCCTGGGAGCTGGGGACTTGATCATCTCCTCCTTTTCCTTGATCTCTCCCCACCCGCCCCAGCTTCCCTGTCACCTGCCTGGGATGAGTGTCACTCACATACCACCTACCTGGGCACACAGCCCTGCCTCAAAGGACATCTGTGGGTCACTGATGTGGCATCCTGGTCACATTCTCACATGAAAAAGAGCCCGGAGAGGGGAGCTACAAGGGGCTGCCCTTCCTGTTCCCGTTTCCCACTGGTCCCACTTTCGAAGTTCTGTCCCCACAGGGCCTGGAGCTACCTCAGCTCGGACAGCAGGGCAATCGCACCTGCACACTGCTTCCCTCTGGCCTCTTCCTTCCAGACGCCAATTCCATCTAAGCAGCTCATAAGAGGCTGCAGCTGGGCACTTAATGGGATGGGTCACAACTAAGACCCTTTAGTTAAATTTCCTGGGGCTGACAACAGCCTTATTTGGGGTCATATTGATTAAATGACACTGTGAGCACCTTCTTAAGTGGCTCTGAGAACTATCAGAACTATTCTGGCATTTGTGGAAAATAGCAGGAATGTGGCCAGAGAAGTGCTATGGAAAATTCTACTTTGAAGTGACGCTAGCTACTTAATATGTGATGAGTACCTGTAAAGTGTTCATCATGTGTTTTTTTTTAATTTAAAAAATATATATATTTTTAGGGATTTAAGAGAGGAAGAGAGAAACATCAATGATGAGAGAGAATCATTGATTGGCTGCCTTCTGCAAACCCCACACTGGGATCGAGTTAGCAACTTGGGCATGTGCCAGCAGGAATCAAACTGTGACGTCCTGCTTCATAGGTGGATGCTCCATTCACTTACTTGATTCTTTGAAAATGTCTGTGCTCCCTCTTTCCTCCCATTAGACTTTACACTTGAACCTCCTCTGCCATTGTATCCTAGTAGCTGGTAGGTGTTAAACAAAATTTGTAGGTGTCCATCTTTGTTTTAGATACTTCATATCTTTTAAGCCTCAAAATATATGTGTTATTATTCCTCTTATACAGATAAGAAAATGAGGTTCAGATGAGGAAACGGCTATATTTAACTTCCATGATTGAAGTCTTTTTTTTTTTTTAAATAAGGTTTTATTAAGCCAGAAATGCTAACCAAAAGACTGGTCTTGGGGCATGGGGTCTAAACCACCAGCAGCACGGCCAGGTAGGAAAAGTGGTATGTCCGTCATCCCAGAGTTTTGTAACCGGTTTAATACATCGAGTCGGGGAAAAGGAAGAAAGAAGTAGTCTGAAAGGATTTACCTGAGCTACAGGCAAAGGGGTGGGAGAAAGTGAACCAGGGCCAGCTCTGGGGCAGCAGAGCTGAATAAAGAAATGTCTGCACCAGTGGAGTGGCTGTGGGCAGAGGTCCAGAAAGCCCACATGCAAACATACGGGGACTCCTGGAGTTAGGTGTCTGGCTAAAATAATCTGTGGATCTAGCCACCTGGAAATTAATCCACAATTCCAACAGGCAAAACAGGAATGTGAGATGTCTTTTATTTATTTACTAGAGACCTGGTGCATGACATTCGGGCCCTCAGCCCCGCCCATGCCCTCTCACAATTTGGGACCCCTCAGGGGATGTCCAACTGCCACCTTAGGCCAGCAGTCAGACATCCCCGAGGAGTCCTTAACACTGCCAAGGAGGCGGGAGAGGCTCCTTCCACCGCCACTGCATTCGCCAGCTTTGAGCCTGGCTTCTGGGAGCATATTGACCACCAGGTGGTAACTCCTGCACTGAGCGTCTCCCCCCTGGTGGTCAGTGCATGTTATAGTGATCGGTCGTTTCGCCTATTTGTATTTTAGGGTTTTATTACATGGGCTTTAAAAAAAATATTGTTTATTTATTTTTGTTAGTCCTTACCCAAGCATATTTTTCCATTGATTTTTAGGGAGAGTGGAAGAGAGAGGGAAAGACTGAGAGAAATAACGATGTGAGAGAAACACATCGATTGGTTGCCTCCTGCAAGAGCCCTGACCAGGGCCCGGGCTGGGGAGGAGCCTGCCACCAAGGCACATGCCCTTGACTGGAATCAAATCCAAGACCCTTTGGTCCACAGGCCAACATTCTATCCACTGAGCCAAACCGGCTAGGGCTGAGATGTCTGTCATTAGCTGGCCTGCAGCCATCAACAGACTAACAGTTCCGTCTCTTTCTCTCCCTCTCAGGCCGCTGTAACTTAATTTAGAACAACTCAGAATTTTCTTCTTATCAGCTGATTCCAGGGAGGCACGTGTAATCAGCTGTGTGCTTCCTGGGTAGTGTGTGCAGATGCTGCTACCCACGACCCCAACCGTGACACCCTGAACCAGGGAGGCACAAAAGGCAGACCTCAAGTCCTCCCAGCAGGAAGCTCCACCATGGCCCACCAGCTCCGACAGAGTCCAAGCCTTTAAATCAGAAGAGACACCACCAGCAGTTACAAAGATAGGGACATTTATTTGTGTTATATTACTGGATTTTAAAGGCAAAAAATACAGTTCTGTTTTGAACATCAAAGTCAGACATCCTCCCCCCCCCTCCCCATTCACAATAGTCAATACATACATTTGCACACATAGGAAATTAAAACACACAGCATCACAGGTCTCCAGGACAGGACCGCTCTGTCCTGGCTGTGTGGGACACCCCATGGCCAGCCCTGAGGTCAGCAGAAACCCTGCCCAGGCTGAGAGCCAGACCGCACTTCCTTTACCCTCCCGGGCCACCTCTGCCCTCTGACCTTCTCCAAAAGCCGCGTCACAGGGTCACCAGCAACGGGAAGGACAGAAACAAAGGCACGGAACACGGCAATGTCACGGTGACAGCTTCCAGGTAAAGGAAATGCCCCTGAACCCTCTGGCCCTGAACTCCCCGAGGAGGAAGCAGGACCTACAGCATCTCGTGAACTAGGCAGGCCTCCAGGCCTGACCTCGGGCTCAGGTGGCGCCCGTGAGAGAACCGGCAGGTCAGCAAAGGAGGAGCAGATGACGCAGGATTCTCCTGGGTTCTGAGGATGAACCACATACTTCTTGAATATTCCAATGTAACATGGAAGGAAATATTTTTTTAAAAAGGAAGAGGGGAAAAAAAAAAGACTTTTTGTTTGTTTGTTTAAGAGTATAGTAAATAACCAAGAAGTTATTTCCCACAGGTGTTCGTCTCCTTTCTTTTAAGGCACTTTGGAGAAGTCAGGATCTGGGGTCCGAAAGAGAGGCCTTCATTCTTTGCATTTCCCTAAACTCCTTCTCAGGGCAGTTGCTCTGAATTTTGTTAACATCTCTGTTAAAGGAGCAGGGGGTTGACAAGAAGGAATACTCTTCGCATAAGCCCCAAAAGCTTGTGCAGTGGAACATAAACTTTAATCACAGGCTTCTGGAAAAAAGAACCAAGTTAGCATCCGAGATGCTTTAAAGCAATAAAGGCACAGGTGAGACTGGCGCCGGGACACCCACTCAGCCTCCGCCCGGAGGGCTGGGTCCCAGGAGGTCTGAGTGGCCTCCAGCTAAGAGGTCAAGCCTGGGATTACACAGCCGAGCCTCAGGCCCCGAGCCCGGAGCTGGAACGGCCTCGTGCCTCTCAGCCCCTCCCGGCAGAGGCAGGTTTGGAGAAGGCAGCCCTGTGGGTCAGCCTCCCAGGAGTGGGGAGCACCTGCCAGAGGCCCGAGGGGGGAGAGGGAGGCTTCAGGCACCAGAGCGGTCAGTGGGGGAGTGTGAGTGGGTTCAGCTGAATTTCTAGGTTTCTCATTAAAAGGCACATTCATGCTGGAGAATGAATAGTGTATTTGACCCTGAGTGCCACAGGCAAGTTGTAGGGAACAGGCAAAAAAAAAAAGCAAAGGAATAGGCAAAAAGCAAGGGGACAGAAAAGGGGAGGGCGGAAGCGGGAGGAAGAGGGAGAACCGGTCCTGCAAGGTGGGACCGGCAGCGTGGGGCCAAAGCTGAGGGAGGCTGCCCTGTGGGTCCAAGGGGGCCAGAACCGAGGTGCCCTCCACCTCCCCGGGCTCAGGGCCAGTAAACAGTTCTGACTGCTGTCATTTACAACCCCACAGCCCAGGGCCCGGGTGGGAGGTCCTAGGAGTCAGTCCAAGGCGGTGCTAGAGGTTCCCTCTGCCCTGCCCACCTGGGGAGGGTAAAGAGACGGGGAGCACTTCCTGGCAGGCCAAGGAGTCTGCCTTCCTGCAGAGGTTGGGGGAGTGGGGGTGGGGGAGGGGGCTTGCCTCGGTAAAGGACCCACAGGTGACTTTGCTCTTCACAAAATCTGGCCGGCCGGCTACATCAGAGGCCTGCGCATGGCCACTACAGCATATTAGCATCGCCCCCCTGCCCTGCCCCGCCCCTAAAAAAAAAATGCTCAGTCCCTTCCTCACATGTAAAACACCACATTTAAATACATAGGGAATTCAAGTGTACATCGCATACTCAGAAAAATCAATTGCCATGTCTGAACACTCCACAGCCGTGAAAATCTGGATCAACACGAAATCAAAGCTACATCAGTAATCGGAATTCGATTTGGTCTTCAAGATAACTACAAACTGCCATCTGCTCTTTTCTTAAAAAAGTTTTACATTCAGAAATCAGGCAATGTGGAGAAAGGCCACTGGATGTGAGGACAACCCAAGGATTTTTGCTCTGATGGCCAAGGTTGCCTTGGAATTCACACGGCTAGCAGGGCAAAGGGTCTGAGGCTCACGTTTTAAAACTCTTTTGCGAAGAAGAGAGACACACAGTAATTGGAACAGTTGTATAGCGCTAAAGGAGGGAGGGGAGGCGTAAAGAGAGAATGGCTGCTAACAGTTTTTCTGCTTACAATATGACAACCAAAAAAAAAAAAAAAAACAAAAACAATCCAATTTCAGCAGCTCTCTCCAATTTTGCATAAAGTAATAAGAATACACGATTTAAAACAAAATTCTTACCTATTTCACAACAATTTTGCAGTTTACCACTGGGAACGAGTCCCACAGTCACCAAATTTGGGGCTGTGTACGCTCTGATTCTTTGGGGTGCAGGCACTGTGAACATGCTGAGAACCCCCAGAGGCTGGCAGTTTCTACACAAACAAACACCCCGTAGAGCTAAGAAGTCACACGCTGAAGTCAAGCCGGGGGCAGAACATCCCCCTTGTTCTGGTCAGCCTTTGGAAAGGCGTGTAAATGCTGAGCGGAGGGGCTGTCACGCTGATTGGTGAGAACGCGGGACCAGCCCGGCACCTTGGCAGGGACACAGCCGAGGTCCCTGGCCATTTTCAGGTCTCTTTATCCGGGTAGCAAAATGCTAGCTCGGTTTCCCGACGTCCACTGTGATTTTGGTATATAGCGGGTTTCTCTCTATGTCCAACACCTTATAAGTCAGTGTGTTCAAACCATCAGACAGCATTGTCTCCTTCGTGTGTGCAATTCGGTCAAACCTACAAGGACAAAAAAAAAAAAGCAAGAGGTTGGTGGCAAAACAAAAATCTTAAGGAAAAGAAGGCATTACGCGTTTGCACTTTGTTGCTTTTCCCCCTTTGGACTGAGCCCTCCCCAGGGCCTCCCTTCTGCCCCATCCTGGAGAGGGTAGAAGGAATATAAACAAACACAGAACACACCTCTGAGGATTGGGTTCATTTTTCTTGTCCCTCGAGTGGCGAATCATCCGGCACTTCCCAACCACGGCATTCGGGCGAGATATAGACATGCCTTTAAAAACTAATCTGCGAGGAGCAAAGGGACAAATCGTCATCGGAAAGTAACAGTAGGCAGAGCCAAGTCGTGAAGATGCATGGCGTTGGCCTGAGCCCTCTGGGCGGCCAGGAAAGCGCAGGCAAAGGCAGGGAGAGCAGACACAGGGCCCTTGGGAGCAGCACAAGCCTCAGGGACCGGTGAACGGATCTGGGGTTGGAAGTGGCTGGAGATGAGGCTGGCAAGATGGGCCAAGGCTGAACCATGGCGGCCTTCTCAACGCTTCAAGCAGCCCGTGAGCCGTGCCAGTGTCAGGAAAGGATGTAATACAGTGTTTCCCAAAGGTGTTTAGCCAAGGAGACATCTCTCTGATAAGCAGTATAAAAAGGGGGGATAGGGAATAAGACTAGGGGCAGCCAGAACCGAGTGGAAGGTTCTGTGTGAAGGTCTAGGGCCGTGGCCGGCAAACGGCAGCTTGTGAGCCACATGCGGCTCTTTGGCCCCTTGAGCGTGGCTCTCCCACAAAATACCACGGCCTGGGCGAGTCTATTCTGAAGAAGTGGCGTTAGAAGAAGTTTAAGTTTAAAAAAGTTGGCTCTCAAAAGAAATTTCAATCGTTATACTGTTGGTATTTGGCTCTGTTGACGAATGAGTTTGCCAACCTCGGGTCTAGGGAAAAGGAATGAGGACCAAAACCAAAGCAGGAACAGAGGAGTGAAGAGACAGTGCCCCTGGATGACTTTAAAGGTTGCTGGCCTTGCCCCCAGGACCTGGCAGACAGTGAGTAGGTGAAGAGGAAGAGTTAGGTCCTTTATTTCCCAAGAAAGCTGCTCCACAAACCGCTCACCCTTCCAGTCCCTCCAGCCCAGGATGCTTTAGTACTGTGTTCTCTGGGCCCCACGGCCCCCAACCTTTTTGACCACTCAGGTCTCTGTTGTCACATCAGCCCAGTGTCTGCCCAGCTGTGGTACTGTGGGAGCAAGCTTGCTTCTGTCTGGACTCCGTGTCCATGAATTCAGGGTCTTCCCGATGGGGCCCACCTGGCACAGTGCTCGCATGCAGCGGACACTCGAGCTGCATACTTGAAAACTCAAGTGTTCTTCAAGGCCTGTATTAAAGACTCGGGCCTATGCCAAGTTCTCACAGAAAGCCAACCTTGAATGGCTTGGGTGCTGCCCTGACAGACACCTTCAGTTAACTGATCAAATTAGTGTTCTGCAATCCAGGAAGGCACCAGGGTATATTCTGACATCAAACTCGGGGACAAGTTCAGACCGGCTCGCAGAGGGAGTAGGTGCTTTTAATCTGCAGCTGGCAGGGTTGAAGCCTCCATTGCCGGGGAGAAGTGGGCAGAATGCGGTTTCAAATGCTACTGGCAGGTGATTTTATACCATCTGTAATGACAAGCTACATGATAAAGTTTTACCAACTCCCAGGGAGTCCACGGGTGTGGGTGTTGGGGGTTGGCTGTGAAATGATGTTTGCTGGGGCCAGTGGGTACACAGCAGCCATCACACTACTCTGTCCTCTTTTGTATATATTAAAATAGTCCAAAAAGTCAAATAAATAAATAAATAAAACAGAACCAATATTCTGTGAAGAACTTGGGATCCTGTCCAAAGAAACTTGTTTCATACTCAAACATGACCACAATGAGATGCTGAATTTTTATGAAGGACACATGTTTTTGTTTTTGTTTGTTTTTTAATATATTTTTATTGATTTCAGAGAGGAAGGGGAAGGGAGAGAAACATCAGTGATGAGAGAATCACTGATCAGTTGCCTCCTGCATGGCCCCTGATGGGGATTGAGCTTGCAACCTGGGCATGTGCCATTGACGGGAACCAAACCTGGGACCCTTCAGTCCACAGTCCATGCTCTATCCATTGAGCCAAACCAGAAGGACACATGTTTACTCTTTCAGGACAAAATGGCATGTGGTATGCATCAAAGTACACTCCCTCACTTGGTTCTCATTTTCCATTTTCCCAGGCTAATGCAAAAATCACAGAAGCTGCCCTGGCTGGGTAGCCCAGCTGGTTAGAGTATCATCCCTCTACGCCAAGATTATGGGTTTGAACCCCACTCAGGGCACATACAGGAAACCACCAATGAATGTATAAATAAGTGGGACAATAAATCCATGTTTCTCTCTTCCCCTCTCTCTTTAAAAACCAATAAATTTAAGTTTTTTTCTTTAAATAGCAGTAGCTAATTTTCTTAAAGACATCTTCAGCATGTACAGTGTCTATAGCTGGGCATACATAAGACCCTAGGCTGATTGGGGACTGCATCCTTCCTGAGGGATAGCCTTGCAGACTAATCAAGCATCGATTGAAAAACTAGAAATAAAGGGAGACAGAGAAGGAGATCCAAGTTGAGACCATTACCTGTTGAAAATGTCGTCATCTTCACCTCCCCAGCCCCAATAATTATTAGGAAATCCATTGATGGTGAGAAACTGTTGTTTACTCAGGGCAGACACACCTCCAAAAAACTGAACATAAGGTAAGCTGGGGGGGAGGGGGAAGGAAACACACACACAGAGACCAGCGGTTAGTAAGTTTTTACTTTCTTGAAATAAAACTTGCTCAAAATAAACACTCCTAAAGTTATTGTTATTCTCTGGAACTTTTTCACTGGAGATTTATGAGGGCTTTCTTTGTTTTAATAGTAGACTCAGATTATTTTTAGAGAAGACACAGGTGTCAAAAAATAGAACCTTCTTTCTAAAAATATTGTGTCGATTCTGTGGGGATGTAGAAAATCAGGTTACATAAGCATAAGCCCAGCTCTGCACCAGACAGGAATCTGCTCCTGCGCGGGAAGTCCTCATCCAGGAAGTCCTGGAATCTGAGGTGGTTCTGTGGTCTCCCTGTGCCCATGCTGTCATGTGCCCAGCCCATCTACCAGTCCAGCTTCCATTCTTCCAAAGGTTTACTGGCTTGAAAACTGACTGATTCCAATAGACAAGACAGCATTTGTGGTCCTGGCCGGTGTGCTCAGTGGGTTGAGCATCATGCCACGCACCAAAGTGTCGTGGGTTCAATTGTGGTCAGGTTATGTGTCTGGGTTGTGGGTTCAACCCCCAGTAGAGGGCATGAAGGAGGCAGCCCATCGATGTTTCTCGCTCTCTCCCTCTAAAAAAGTCTTAAAAAAAAAAAAAAATAGCATTTCTGCCATTCATCTTTCCCCAGCAGAGGAGCTAAGTTTGGACTGCCTTCAAGTCAGGAAAGCACAGTGATGTGTGCTTTAGTCATCATTATTATGCAAACACCCACTGGTCAGGATGGTTTGTTATCAGTTAGGAAATAAAAGTTGCTTCTAAATGACAGGAATGGCTCAAGCCTGCTTCCTATTTTTTTTTATAATATATTTTTTATTGATCTTTTACAGAGAGGAAAGGAGAGAGATAGAGAGCTAAAAACATCGATGAGAGAGAAATATTGACCAGCTGCCTCTTGCACACCCCCTACCGGGGATGTGCCCGCAACCAACGTACATGACCTTGACTGGAATCGAACCTGGGACCTTTCAGTCCGCAGACCAACGCTCTACAACTGAGCCAAACCGGTTTCGGCATGCTTCCTATTTTGATTTTGTTTGTAACTGATGAATGGTGCAGCATTCATCATCAGAATAGTTGCTAAATTTATTTAAATGTGTGGTTTTGATTTGGCTTGAAGAAATAATCTCACTACAGGTACCATTATATGTACAGTACATATAATGTTAGTATTTCCACTTTGATTCCTTGATATTGCAATGGAATTCCGACTTTATTAAATGTACTTTATATGCTAGTTATTGTGTGTGGTTTAAACTTTTTCTGCTTCCTCCCTTTTCTGGTTGTATGCTTCCTTTTACAACAAGCCTCTAGAAACAGTTTCTGAGAATGCCTGTTTATAATGCAGATGTACTTAGGGAGTGTGTAAAATAATCATTTTCACAAAATAGATAGATATTTAAAATTTACCAATAACGTCAGATGGAGGGCAGTGGTGGGTTCATTGTGTAAAACATAGTTTATCTTTGGACGCTATGCTTGTCTTTGGTTTTACAAAGTAGCTTGTATTTTCTATATAACAGGGTAATATATAGAGCAATTGTGATGCCTCAATAAAAAGGATAAAATTTCTGATTTGAAAAAAAATAAAAAAGATACATTCCTGAAATTTTCCTTGGAAATTTCTACCATGTCCTGACTTAGCGGTATGTATAATATAATGGCGAATCTATTTTGACACATTTTTAAGCAGCAGGGCATCTGGGCTCTCATCCCACCAAACCTTTTTGCATTTCAGTGTTTCAGTGGTTATAAATTGAGGTCTCCTGAGGAAGACAGAGGAAGCATGGATGAGAAATGTTAAGAATCAGAATGAGGACCTGTCCAGAGGCCATGCAAAGGCCTTCTGGGGTCCTTCAAAGGCTGTGTTTTTTTTTTTCTCTCGGCCCTGTGTGCAGCTCCAAACCACACTCAGGCTCTTAATGGAATCCAGAGAAACCAAAACTTATCATATAAATTAAGAAAAATGCTAACTCAGATTTAAGAGAAAAGTCAGCCAAACCATACAGAACCCAAGAAAAACAAAACCTAAAAAAAAGCAATTATCATTTTCTAATCCATTTAGGAATTCTGCATTCTGACTGCAAGTATCCACAAGCAAGCTCCCTGGGGACATGCTTTAATGAATTTAAGGTCATCTATGGGTAACAACCTACCGACACTGAGGTGCCAAGTCAGCCAGCCACCTTTTGCTTTCCTCACAGTACAGTCTGCACTTGCAAGGCAAGGGTTTGAATCCCAGGTGGCCATGCCAATAATGGTTTTTTGATAATGAGTGTTTTTATAGAGATGGACTCTCAGCCACTTCTAGGGGAATTACCAGCTGAGCTGACAAGACCTAGTTTTGCTGTCTCTGCTGCTTTCTCTTACCTCCTGCCCCATCCCCCAAGCCTGAAAGGCCCTGGAAAAATAGACATGGTGTTATGGAAAAGAACTAGGTGATCCCCTCCCACCATGCTTCAAGGGCGGAATTAAAGAGGGGTCAGGGTATAAGCCTGTGTATATCAAGAAGACGATACACAAATAGGGAAGGTGGGAGGGAAGATGGGGGGCAGAGAGTGACTTTTACAGCTAAATCCCTCCCCCTAAGACAGCAAGTTCAGGGCCTGAATACTTTTGATCTGGGGGAAGGACTTTACAACAACCCTATATTTATCTCACAGACCTCATGCTCTCAGCAAGGGAGGATGGAAAGAATTACTACTCAGTGAAGGCGCTCTTCCCCAGAGCACAGAGGCTCTCCTGGCTGCAGGAACTGCATCTCCTAGTTGTCATGTCAGAGAGGAACATGTTTCCTACAGACTCTGGTGAACAGCTCTTACCTAAACCCAAACTTGTCCATTGCCACAGAGATGTGCCGTGGCTGGGAGAAACACCGGTAGGCGTTCCGGTCATCCATGGGGATGAGGTCCACGTCGCTGAACACGAAGCAGTTGTAGTCATAGTCCTTCAAGGCCTCTCGGAAGCCCACGTTGAGGAGCTTAGCGCGATTGAATGTGGACTCTCCAGCCTGGAGCAGAAACAGAAGGAGTGAGACTAGATGCCGTAAGGACTTTGAGCAGAACACAGGGACTGGTGACTTGCCCACTACATGTGGTCATTAATCCGCACCTGGGCCTCCTTTTCTGCCCTCATTGGTGAATTAATACCATGTGGTATGTCCTGAGTCAGTATTCCCCACTTTTCAGAATTATCCTGCAGGACTTGCAAATGTGCAAATGGCATATGAACATGATTCCCCATGGAGTGTTCATCAACAGCAAACGATTGCAAACAGCCCCAGCAGGTTTGGCTCAGTGGATAAAGTGTCGGCCTGCGGACTGAAGGGTCCTTGAGTTGGATTCTGGTCAAGGGCACATGCCCAGGTTTCAGGCTCGATCCCCAGTAGGGGGTGTGCAGGAGGCAGCTGATCAATGATTCTCTCTCATCATTGATGTTTTTCTATCTCTCTCTCTCCCCTCTCCCTTCCTCTCTGAAATCAATAAAAATATATATTTTTTAAAAAGATTGCAAACAATGACATAAGCATCACTAGAGAATTGGTTAAATAAATGATGGTACATCCGTCTAATGGGATAGAGTTATTTTTAAAAATATGAACTCTCTAAAAGGAAATGATCTTCAAAACAGTATCATTAAGTGAAGAGGCATTTAAACATTTAAGCGTCACTTATTTATAAACTATATGTAGATTAATTCCAGAAAAGACATTCAGGAAATGGGTACCTGTGGGACTTTTTACTTCTACCCTCTTTATATGGTTGGCTGTGATTGATAACCACATGGTGTGCCTACCAGGTGTCTGTCACTAAACTAGGCACAGAGAAATATGAGAAACCAAACCCAATCTCTGCCCTCCTGGTGCTCAGAATGCCTGCTGGGGAGCAGTATGGTACATACAACAGAAACAGGGCGTATGAGAGAGAAGACAACGCCTGCTTTAGGATGCCAACCATTGGGTCTCAAAGCACCAAGTCTGTTTGTGAAAAGATACTTCATATTTTATTTATTTATCTTGTTTATTTCAAACCCTCCCTCTCTCACTCAAAAGCATGCTCAATGAAGGCTGGAGCTGTTCACCATTTTATTCACCCAGTGCCTTGAACACTAAGAGCTCAATAAATAACTGCTGATTGGCTGGATGATAGGTGGATGGGTGGATGAATGGATGAATGAATGGGCGAAAAGACCGATGGGTGGGTTTCAACATACAATGTCAGAAAGCATTCCTTGCTGGGAAGCTCCAACCAAAGGGCCCCCTTAGAGTCACCAGCATGGGTCTCGGCTCTTACCAATGGCCATGGCCCTGGGTTAGTAAGGACAGTAACAGCAGTGACACTGCCACCCTTACATTCAGCAGTTCACAAGCCCTCCGGGCACATGTTGTCATCCTGACCAGAACCCTACCCATCATCACACCTTGAAGAAACTAAGGCCACACAAATGACACCCCTCGGACTGGAGCCCAACACCCAGAACCCTCACTTTATGCTCTTTCCCTGTCTCTCGGGATAAACAAGATCAGGGTCTCTGCTTTGGGGGAAAATGTATCCCATAAGGGCCTGCAGTGGGAACACAGGCTCCGAAGAGGACTTGGAAACGTGTGCCAGGAAGTGACCTGTGAGTGCAGAGCGGGCAGACCTCACCACAGCCGCCCAGCCTCAGGGAAACCGGCCACTTAAGGAAAGCCAGTACCAGGAAGTCAGACAAAGCACCCACCAGAACACTATCTCCCTTTAGGAAACATCTCCCACAAGAGCTCCTTTCTTCAGCCCATGACAAAGCCTTCTAACCACACTCGGTGAAAAGAGAAAGCTGTGACCGACGAATGGCACACAGTTTCTCTGACAGTCCCACCACATGTCATGCCTTCCATCAATGCTGTGTAAGCCATGAGGCACAAAGAAGTTCAGAGCTGAGAGACTGCATGGTAAAACTTAGGAAGCTGTAGTAATAATTATTGCTAGGACAATGCACTGCTAACATTCAAGGAGGGGGGAGGGCAGGGGCGGATATGGCAAACCAGGCAAAGGGTTAGGTGTCTTACCTGCACGCCCTGTCACTTAGTCATCTCGACAATCTTGTAACCACTTTTATTCTGACCCAGATCTACCGCATTCCTCCCACACCTTCTACCTCCCGGTGATGGGGAGAGAGGCCTGGTGATGGGGAGAGAGGCCCGGTGATGGGGAGAGAGGCCCGCACCTGGTGCTTTCCATCTTGCTCCTCTGGCTCCATGAAGACCCTAGAAGAGTTCTCTGGATATTTTCAAACACAATGCATCCCCATGGAGCACTTTTCCCACACAGGGAAAGGGCAGTGTTTCAACGAAGCCTTTTCACACGTGTGCAGCAGGCCCACAGCGGGGCTGGCTGCCCAATGCTCCCTTCTTCTCACTACACTCTCCTGTAAGAAACAGGGGGTGGGGGTGTGTGTGTGTGTGTGTGTTCTCTGGTGGTCATGTCTGCATGTCTGGACTACAGGATCTGGCCTCCCGGTCACTACTGTTTGATCTAAGCAGATGCTTAAGTGAGACGGCACTAAGTACTTTTCCTCTCCCAGAAACTGGTAATTTGGAGCAACAAACGGGCCCCTGTGGAGCCAAGCTCCCAGCATAATGGAGGAGAACTCTAACGAGAAAACCCGGTTCTGCCCTTGGCCAACGTGTGACGCAATAGTTCCTTCCCCTGAATAAGGTGCTCCAGTGTGTGGTCCACACTGAAAACGAGGCAGGTGGTTTTCCAAAACAACCTGAACTACACGTCGCTTCTCCCATCCTTCCTCCCAGCCGGGCCTCACCTGTGTGATCCCGGGGGAGGGGAACAGCAGGGTATTTTTTGCAAGTGTGAGCCCTAGGGACACCAGAGCAGCAGAGGGACAGAGGAGGAAAGTGTGTCTTCCTCTTCCTCCCCGGGGATTACAGAAATGTCCGTTCCAGGCTTCTTCGGGTGAAATGCTGTAAGTAACATGGGGAACTTAATTAAGAAAGTCAGGCCCTGGCAAGTCCACCAACCCCCACGGCTAACTGCAGGTGCCCATTCCTCTGCAGGAGGGAGGAAGGCACCTGCCTTCATTCCTGCCCCTCCTCACAAGGCACATGGACTCAGTGCACCAGCTACTTCATTCACTCAAGTAGACATGTATCAGTGCGGCCAAGCCAAAATGTGACAGACATGCCATCTTCTTCGCTTATTAGCTATGGGCATCTGGGCCTCTATTTCCTCACTTGGTCATGGAGATGACAATTGGTGGGTTGTATTCAATGAGACAATACATTCAAGGCCTTTTGCACATTGCCTGGCAATAAATGACAGATACTATTATTGTTACAGCAGAGCTTTTCCCATTCACCTTGAATAGTCAGACCTCTCAAAGTGTTGCCCTAACTGGTTTGGCTCAGCGAACAGAGCTTCAGCCTGAGGACTAAAGGGTCCCGGGTTAGATTCTGGTCAAAAGGGCACACCCTGGGGTTGCGGGCTCAGTCCCCAGTAGGGGTCATGAAGGAAGCAAATAATCAATGATTGATTCTCTCTCATCACTGATATTTCTATCTCTTCCTTCCTCTCTGAAATCAATAAAAAAAATATATATGTATACTTAAAAATGTCTCCCAGTCTAAACCGATTTGGCTCAGTGGATAGAGAAGGGGTGTCGAACTCAATCAGAGAAGGGGCCAAAATCTAAAATCCAGCCTAAATCGTGGGCCGAATGGTTTACTGAACAGTCATAAACTGTCATTGTGATGGAAACGCAGCGGAGTGCAGTGATGACAGCGCGGTGCGGGCCACATTGCAAGGCCTGGTGGGACAGATTTGGCCCGCGGGCCTTGTGTTTGACACATGTGGGATAGAGCATTGGCCTGCGAACTGAAAGATCCCAGGTTCAATTCATCAAGAGCATGTACCTTGGTTGCGGGCACATTCCCAGTAGGAGGTGTGCAGGAGGCAGCTGATCGATGTCTCTCTCTCATCGATGTTTCTATCTCTCTCCCTTCCTCTCTGTAAAAAATCAATAAAATATTTTTTAAAATAGATTAAAAATGTCTCCCAGAGACTGAAGACAACTCCTCTCGTGTTTGTGGGTGTCCTTCCCAATCAACCTTCAGCTCCTCCCTAATCCTGCTTCTCTAGAGGGGTAACTAGAGGGCTAATTTTTTCAAAGGATTAAGCCTCAAGTGAGTTAACCTGTGACTCAGGGGTTTCGAGTGTTAGTAGCAGCAGAGGAAGGACAGAGAGGCCTTTAGAGGCCGGGAAATGCCGGAAGCCCCTTCGGTGAACAGGAGCTGGCGTACTGGCTGCAGGTGTCCCTCTGAAAGATGGGGCTTTTAAAAGTGCAGGCTTCTTCTTCTTCAAAAATATATTTTTATTCTTTTTTTTTTTTTTTTTTTAGAGGGAGGGATAGGGAGACAGAAACATCAATGATGACAGAGAATCATAATTGGTTGGCTGCCTCCTGTACACTCCTTATTGGGGACCAAACCCACAACCCAGGCACGTGCCCTGACTAGACATTAAACCAGTGACCTCTTGGTTCATGGGTCAATGCTCAACCACCAAACAACACCAGCAGGGCTAATGTGCAGGCTTCTTTGCATTGGTAGATAAGCATTATAGTTATCCCTAATGCTATCAACAGTAACATTTTTTTTTAAAGAGCTATATTTATCCCTTCCTTCTAGGGCAACTGGCTCCTCTTAACAGAAGGAGAGAACAAGAAGAAGGAAGAGCCAAAACAGGTTTGGCTCAGTGGTAGAGCGTCGGTCTGCGGACTGAAAGGTCCCAAGTTCGATTCCGGTCAGGGGCACGTACCTTGGTTGTAGGTAGGGGGTGTGCAAGAGGCAGCTGGTCGGTGTTTCTCTCTCATCGACATTTCTAGTTCTCTATCTCTCTCCCTTCCTCTCTGTAAAAAATCAATAAAATATATATTTTTTTTAAAAAAGAAGGAAGAAAGGTCCAACACCATATGGCATTTCCACAGCTGGACAGGACGACAGTCCCCCGACCAAAGGTCACAGAGCAGCCTTTTATCTGGGCACACAATCCTGACAGTGGGTGGAAGAGTTGGTCAAGCAGAACCAACAGCGGCCAGAACAGAGAGAACAGGAGCCTGAGTTGGTCAGGCCTGAGCCTGAGCCGGCCTGGGCGAGAGTGAGGAGACCCGAGGTGGGCGGCCTGGCACAGGCCTGAAGGCCACGCTCCTCAGAGGAGAGGAAAGAAGAAAGAAGCTACCTTCAGCCGAAAGGTAGTTTGGCTCAGTGGATAGAGCATCAGCCTGTGAACTGGAAGGTTCCATGTTCAATTCCGATCAAGGGCATGTACCTTGGTTTCGGGCACATCCCCAGTAGGGGGTGTGCAGAAGGCAGCTGGTCGATATCTCTCTCTCATCGACATTTCTAGCTCTCTATCCTTCTCCCTTCCTTTCTGTAAAAAAAAAAAAAAATCAATAAAATATATTAAAAAAGAAGAAGAAGAAGAAGAAGAAGAAGAAGCAGCAGCAGCAGCAGCAGCAGCAGCAGCAGCTACCTTTAGACACATCATGTGGAAACTCAGTGCCCTGCTGGCACATCTGAGTGGCAGGGAGCAATGTCTTAAGTATTAGATAGTCCTCCAGGGCTAGTAAAACCTTTCCCTAGAGCCTTCATTTCCACTAAAGATAAGAAAGAGCAAACAGTGTGTCCACTGAAAATGGAATCCTCCTACACTGCTGGTAGGAACATAAAATGGTGCAGCCGCTGTGGAAAGCAGTCTGGCAGTTCCTCAATTAGACAAACTAAGAAATACCATGTGATCTAGCAATCCCACTCCTAGGTACAGACCCAAGAGAAATGAAAACATATGTCCACACACAAACTTTTACACAGTGTTCATAGCAGCATTATTCACCACCGCTAAAAAGCGGAAATAATACAAATGCCCATCAGCAGGTGAACGGATAAACACAAGTGGTACATCCATACAATGGAATGTTATTCAGCCATAAAAAGGAATGAAGTACAGATACATGCTACAACATGGACGAACTTAAAAACACACCAGGTGAAAGGAGTCAGTTACGATGGATCACATGTTTATTATGATTCCATTTATACGAGACGTCCAGAACAGGCAAACCCACAGACACAGAAAGATGAGTGGTTGGTTGCCTAGGGCGGTGGGGAATGGAGAGGTGTTTGTAGCTAAGAGGTGTTTCTTTTCGGCTCAATAAAAATACTCTAAACTTGATTTTATGGTTTAGATAAATATACTAAAAGCTACTGAATTATAGACTTTATTTATTTATTTATTTGTTTGTTTGTTTGTTTAATATGGAACGCTTCACGAATTTGCATATCATCGTTGCACAGGGGCCATGCTAACCTTCTCTGCATCGTTCAAATGTTAGTATGTGTGCTGCCGAAGCGAGCACGAGTGACAGATTTTAAATAGGTGAATGTTACGGTATGTGATCACATCTCAATAAAGCAGTGACCAAGAAAAGGAAAGAGCCAGCCAGGCCCAGAGACAGGGGAGGGCCAGAGGGCCCTGGGTTTCGTGTTTGATACACTCATTCCTGCCATTCGATGAGTGTCTGCGTCATGTTGAACTGCAGGGACGCAGAAAAGGAAACGAAACAGGCCCCTGACAGTGGGTGGGAGAGTTGGTCAAGCAGAACCGTGTGCTGAGCGATGACGCTTCGTGGTGCACAGCTACCGGGGAAGGGGAGACGGGGAGGGAAGGGGAGTTACAGAGCCAAGCACAGATGGGGTGGAGGTGACGACACTAACCTAGTCCTAGGGGACTGGAGAAGGCTTCAAAGAAGGTAGCCACGCTTAGTAGTCCTAGGAGAGAGAGCGACGATTGGAAAGGCTGTGGGGAAAAGAGAGCATTTAAGGAACCACAAGAAGTACACAAGGTGGAAGCCAGAAGGAGATATGAGGGTGGAGGTGGACGAATCATGAGATGGAGAGGGAAGCGGGGGACTCCGCTAAAATGCTCAGGCATCACCTTTGACGGAGGCCACAGGAAGCCTCTGATGGTTTTAAACAAGGGCCACATTTTGCAAGTCAAGGAAGGATTTGCACCCCAACACCCCCAATTGAAAGTGGCGATTCTTGGTGAGGTGGACACGGAGGATTTTTAAACCCCAGCTCCGCAGGAGCCACTGCAGGATGTCTCTCTCTCCTGGGGCCTGCGGCACAGCCTTTCTGCAGAAAAACACTTCAGGAAATAAAGGCTTCTCTCAGAAAACAACGTGGCCATTTATCGTAAGAACTATAAAAAGCTTAAACTGCTTTTGAACCCATAATCCCGTATCTGGAAACCTAACCTAGAGAAACCGAAATGGAGAAACAAACTCAGAATAAGCTTTCGACCCAAAGATGTCCGTCCCAGTATTATTCACGCTCGTGAGAAGGTGGAAAGGGTCTAAATGCTGCTGACATATAATAGAAGAACGGCTGAGTTAATTATGGTAGAACTGCATGCTTCGACTACTATGAAGGCATGGGAAGTGATGATTATGCAGACTGTGAAATAACACGGGAAGATGTGATGACATGGAATTAAGGAAAAGCAGGATGCAGAAGTATATACGTACAGAGGATGAGCCCCACGGTGGCTTAATTTCAGGACGGCTAAGTCTCTTAGACCTCTACACAACAGGCTGGCAATTCCAAGCCAGGCGCCAGAGCCCCCAGCCCTGCCCGGGAGCCCACAGGGCCGAGGCCGGCACACAGCTTCCCCCGGACTGCAGGCCTGGGCTCTGGGTCGGATGTGGGGTGTGTGCACATTACCAGGGTGGGGTGGCAGCGGCGGCGGTGGCAGTGGCAGCAGTCGCAGCAGTGGCTAAGTCGGCGCTCCTCTCTCTAGCAGGTGGAGGGAGCAGAAGAGGAGGCGGGTGGAGAGGGAGAAGCAGACCCCAGAAGAAGCTCCTCCGTCAGCGGGCGTGGCTACAGACAGGATTAACAAGGAAAGGGAAGAGGCCCCCACTAGAAGGAGAGAAAGAGAAAAGGTGGAAGCAAGGGAGGGAAGAAAGGAAGGAAGGAAGGCACATGGCACGGCTGCAGAGGGAGAGGAGCCCTTTCTGACCACCCTAAACCAGGGGAAAGGCAAATCACGAACGAGTGGCCACTCCTGGCCCTGACGTTCAGGGAGAGTGGAGAAATGGCCTTTTCCAGGGTCACGTCCCAGGAGACAACTCACCAGCCGTGTGAGCGCCTGTGAGAGCTGTGACCCATTCCCCAGGAGGAGCGGAGTGAACTGTGGACAGAGAGGGGAAAACACACAGCAAAGGAGATGCCTGCACACTGGGGGTGTGGGGGTGTGTGTGTGTCAGTGCACAGGGAGTGGTGGGACCCAGACACCCCTGTCCTCCCACAGCCCCCCACCCCGTCAGGAAGCTCAGAGCTGGGGGTGCTGCAGGACGGGATCGGCTCCCCCCCTTCTGAGCCCCGTTCCCACCCACACCGATCTAGAGGCTGACCACCTGGGCAGGGAATGGAAGGCAGGGAGGTGGATGGCAAAAGATGGCCAAGGCAGAAACCAAACCAGTGGGGGCCACAGGCCCAGGCAGCCACCCTCAGTCATGGGGCAGGCTCATGAGTCTGCCTCACCCCGATCCACCTGGGCCTCCGTTAGGAACCCACGGCCTGGCCCGGGGACAGAGACAAGCTGCCCAGGAATGGGGACAGGCACTTTCCCTCACTGAGGGTACAACGGCTCTCTCCACACCTGCTCACACGGGGCCCCAGACCGGCAGCCTGGAACTGTCTCACAACAATGCACCCTCATAGCAATGCACTGGTGGAAAAACCTCAAAGCCTGGAAAAGCTGGGCCTCCCCCGCCCCTTCCCCACCGTCCCCCATGCCTCAGCCTTTCCGGCCAGGATTCACCTGTGAGCAGGAGCACGGGCCAGCCACACCAAGGGTCCTGGGGCTGCTGCTCCCAAGGCAAGGCCCACCTGCCATGACCAGCGGGGTTCACAGCGTCACCAAGTGCGAGTGGGGCTGTTCCCCAGGGAGGGGAGGGTAGGCGTTCCTTAGGGTTCCTTAGGCTTCATGCGATCTCTGTCCAACCCCAGCTCCACCCTCCACCCCTCAGGGATCCAAGCAAACCACTTACCTTCCCAGCCTTCCCTCAGCGGAAACAATGAGGGACAATGGGGGTCGTTAGAGTGAAAACCCAAAGGGAGACCATGAAAGATGTTCAGGCCAAAGGACCATAAAGTTTTATGACCATCAACAACCACAGGGTTTTAGAATGGTTTCTCTCCCCTTTCCCAAGGGCCTGCTCTGGCCAGCAAGGCGCAGGGGGTTCTGGGGAAAGGCCTGGGAGGGGCTGTGCAGGTCCCCAAGGATCATGCCCGGACCCGACTGAGAAAGGAGACTTCGCTTCCAGGCACAGTCCTCTCAGGAGAACAGGGAGCGAGGGGCCCTCAGGGCGGGTGGAAGTGCGGGGCAGGAGTCACAGGGAGGAGCGGCTCCGTGCTCCCAACGCTGACCGAGCCCATGGAGCCGGGTGCTCAGGGAGACAGAGGCCGTCAGAACTGGGGGCTGGGTGTCCAGGAGCGGCCAGCTGGGTGAGCGTGCACACAGCAATCACCCCTCCTCCCTCACAGCACTCACCCCTCCTCCCTCACAGCACTCACCCCTCCTCCCTCACAGTGATCACCCCTCCTCCCTCACAGCGATCACCCCTCCTCCCTCACAGCAACCACCCCTCATCCTCACAGCACTCACCCCTCCTCCCTCACAGCACTCACCCCTCCTCCCTCACAGCGATCACCCCTCCTCCCTCACAGCACTCACCCCTCCTCCTTCACAGCACTCACCCCTCCTCCTTCACAGCACTCACCCCTCCTCCCTCACAGCACTCACCCCTCCTCCCTCACAGCGATCACCCCTCCTCCCTCACAGTGATCACCTCTCCTCCCTCACAGCGATCACCCCTCATCCCTCACAGCAACCACCCCTCATCCTTCACAGCAATCACCCTTCCTCCCTCACAGCAATCCCCCCTCCTCCCTCACAGCAATCACCCCTCCTCCCTCACAGCAATCACCCCTCCTCCCTCACAGCGATCCCCCCTCCTCCCTCACAGCAACCACCCCTCATCCTTCACAGCGATCACCCCTCCTCCCTCACGGCAATCACCCCTCCTCCCTCACAGTGATCACCCCTCCTCCCTCACAGCACTCACCTCTCCTCCCTCACAGCACTCACCCCTCCTCCCTCACAGCACTCACCCCTCCTCCCTCACAGCAATCACCCCTCCTTCCTCACTAGGATGTGCTAAGTGGCCTGGGAGCAGCAGGGAGGGAGAGGTCAGCCCCACCTGGGGCTTCACAGAGCTAATAAGTTTTTTGTGTTTTTGTTGTGTGTGTTTGGGGGGGGGGGGGGGGGCAGGAGGGAACTCAAATGGTGGCAGAAAGAGAGCAGGTGGGGGAGGGAAAGGCAGGCAAGCAGGGCAGGGGGAAAGCTAAGCTTTGGCACCCGTGGGAGCAGAGTGTGTCTGGGAGAAGACGGAGAATCCGGGATGGCTGTGGCACAATGGGGTGAATGGAGCCTGAGGAGGAGGTGGCTGAGGCGGGTCAGAGCAGGGCTGGACTGCAGAGGGTCCTGGATGCTGACCTCGGGCTTCAGACCCCGTAGACCTCGCCTTTGGGCAGCAGGGGCACACTGAAAGGTTTAGAGAAAGGGCGGGGCATGGTAGAACCAGAGAGATCAGAGGTGCCAGGGGATATACAAACGGAAATGGGTGCTGGCTCCAGGGCAGAGGGCTGCCACGGCGATTACCAATCCACCTGGCCAGGTGGGTGGGCCTGTGGAAACTTACTCCTGTGCCGGGTGATCCCACACACATCCTGTATTTATTCAGGGCCGGTGGTGCCAGGTGGCAACCTGTCTTCCCTCTACCTTGGGTGGCTTTAGCTTCCTTACAGTATGAGGAAGTGCAGTGTGCACCCTGCCCCCCACCCACTTTGACACCCACTTTGACACCCGGTGTCCCCTCGGCCCCACGGGTCCAGTGCTGGACCTTGGGGAGGACTTCTGTGCCTCCGAGCAGCACCCTTAGTTCCAACAGGCTGGCCGTGCCAGAGCCCTAACGCGGGTCTCAGACACCGGTGTGCTTGGGCAGAAGACTCGAGAGCAAACGGCAATGCTTGTTCTCGGTGTCGACTGGTAAGCCCCCCTCCCGGTATTGTGAGACGTACGGTAAGTTCTCATGGTGCCTGGAAGGGCCCAAACCAAAATGGGGTGCTTAAGAGCCTAATGTGGACAGGGGCAGGAGCCACAAAAGCCTGTGAAAGCTCACCCCCCTGCGTGTGGAACTTGAGACACAACCCTGTTTTGAAGGAGCTGGCAGGCTGACATGGTCCCTGCGTCCCCTGAGGTTCTGGGCTTTATGTCCTTATCTGCTCTCCTCTGACTCCCGGGAAGCCACACACATGAGAGGGAGAGTCCCCGAAGCTGGTCCTGAGTGACTGAGGCGGGTGAAGCAGGAAGAGGGAGAGCAGTAAAGAGTTTATCACCTCGGGCCTGATTAGAGAGACAACAGGCAGGAAGAAGGGGGGTGAGGAGGAGAAACTCCAGTCATTGCAGTAATAACCGGTGTTCCTGAGGGCTCACCAGGTGTCAGGTGCTCACAGCCCTCTGTGGGAAGTACTAAAACCCTGCTCTCCCACAGACGGAGGAGATGGAGGAACTCAGCTGAACGCAAATGGAAGAACTCACCCTAGCCGGGTTGGCTCAGTGGATAGAGCGTTGGCCTGCGGACTGAAGTGTCCAGGATTTAATTCCAGTCAAGGGCATATGCCCGGTTTGTGTGGGCTCAAACCCCAGCAGGAGCATGCAGGAGGCAGCCAGTCAGTGATTCTCTCTCATCATTGATGTTTCTATCTCTCCCTCCCTCCCCCTTCCTCTCTGAAATCAATAAAAATGTTTAAAAAAAAAATTTTTTTTTGAAGAACTCACGCCAAAGGGCACCAGCTGGTTAGTGGCAGCAGAGCCAGAGCCCAGGCTCTCTGAGCTCACCCCCAGCCCTGGAGACCAGCTTTGAGAAGAAGCTCGTTAGGGAGGGACTGAAAGGCCCTGAGGAGAGAGTTGCTCCCCGCGCAGTGAGAGGGCACCCGGAATCAGGGACAGGAGCTTGAGCTACAGCTTATGTGATTTACGTGACTCTACTTCCCTCCTCTGAGCCTCCGCTGCTTTACCTGTGAAACAGAGCAGACACTTGTCAAACTATCTGGTCTCAGAGGTTCAGGCAAATCCCAGCAAAGACTGAAGGGGAAGTTAGGGGGTAAAGGGTCTATTCTTTTTTTATTTTTTTGGTTCTATTCTTATAAACTTAAGAACCACTGGACTAGATGTCTCAGAGCCCCCTCCTATGGTAAGCCTTCTTTCTCTCTAATCTTTTGGGTGTCTTTTTAAATTTTTCTGTATCTTTTTTCTGAATTTTTTCTTTCTCTCTAATCTTAATTGGGGTTGGGGATAAACGGTCAAAATGACAATGGGGCGTCTGAGCCAGGAAGTCACTGAGAGGCTCAAATGATGCCTGTTTGCTCAATGAAGATTGAAGCCTGATGCTACAATCGCCCTTCTGAACCCCCTTTCTGCCTCTGAAACAGCTACAAAGCAGAGAACACAAGAAGTTGGGAGAGGAGGCACGATGCAGTGTTTCTCCTTGGCCTCTTTCTTTCAAAAAGCTTAGGTTTCTCCCTGACTGGTGTGGTTCCGTTCTTTGTAGTGTCATCCAGTACACCAAAAGGTTGCAGGTTAGATTCCCAGTTAGGGTGCATATGGGAGGCAACCAAAGATGTCTATTCTATGTCTATCTGTCTGTCTGTCTGTCTCTTTCTTTCTACTAGAAAGATAGGGCAAAATTAAGTTTCTCCTTAGACTTGGTTATCTCAAAATCAGATTATATTTTTCCAAAGAAATAACCAGGGTGGAATTGGAGCAGAAGAAAACAATTAGGGAGAGGGAGAGGGAGACAGAGAGGAATATTAACCCTTGAAAGAGAAGGAAAAGATGTAGAGGCTTCTCTGGTCAGTGTGGCTCAGTGTGTTGAGCATCTTCCTGTGCACTGAAAAGGTTGCTGGTTCGATTCCCGGTCAGGGCATATACCCAGGTTGAGGGTTCAATCCCCGGTAGGGATGGGTGCAGGAGGCAGCTGATTGATGTTCCTCTCACATTTGTTTCTTAAACAAACGCTTGTTGGATTGAAGTGGCCTGTCATTTACTTGCTCTCTCTTATATTCTCCAACATTCTTCCAAGGTAACGGACCCACAGCTATCTCACTGATAGATTTTTCTCAGGGCCCTGGTCCGTGCCTCACTTGGCCAAGAAACTCAAAGAGCCCCGAGGAGTTTGCCCACAATCTGTTCTCCCAATCTTGAGCTTCAGTTCCCTTGAAAAGCAGATATCTGCTCTTTCCTGTCTGGCAGACTCAGCTCCAACATGGGGCCCTGGAACCTCTGCTGCCTTCCTACCCAATGGTCATCTCGCTCTCCAGGAACACGCAAGGCTGCTTTCTCCCTTAAAGTCCCCATTCTCTGGCCCCACGAAAGATGACCATGTCTCCCTCCAGCCTTTAGAACCCAGTTTTTATCCTGGTTCTCCCAGGCCATTGCTCCTCTTCCGGAGCTTCCAGAGCATTTGGGAGCCACCATTCATTCACGTGCTATTTGGGATTGTTAACGGATTGTTTTCTGGAAGGGCCCACTTGCCAGAAGGGGGAATGGAAGAACTGGGACAGGTAGACCGGGGGCCTCACACGTCTTCAGAATCTCTCTGCAGCAACTGGTGCAGGACTATGCACAGGGGGCTTCCGAAAGGCTTGATGGACACACTGCTGTTTTCAGCTTCCCTTCTGGTCCAAGGGGAGCCACGCAAAGATCCTCAACTTCGATAGAAGCTGTCAACTACCAACAACCTTACTAACTCAAGCAGATTTGGAATTTATCTTGAAATGGACATTCAGCCTTTTAGAAATAGGCACACTCTGTCTCTTCAGATGCATGTCAGTGAAATTTGGTATACAGATAAGTTAGATGTGTTATTGCACCTAGAAGGTTATAGTCTAAAGAGGTGAATGTAAGTATTCAAAATAAACTATATTTCTATCCTTCCTTCTTCCTTTACATGTCTGTGTTCTTGCTCAGTCTGTGTTCTTATGTGGCTCAGTGGCTGAGCGTCGACCTATGAACCAGGAAGTCACAGTTCGATTCTCAGTCAGGGCACATGCCCAGGTTCTGGGCTCACTCCCCAGTGAGGGGTGTGGAGGAGGCAGCGGTCCATGATTTGCTCTCATCATTAATGTTTCTATCTCTTTCTCTCCCTTTCTGAAATCAATAAAAATATTAAAAAAAAAAACACACACACACACAAAAAACACAATAACAATACTGCCTCACAGATCAATCAGATTTCTCCAGGGCATGGTGCTGAAGGCCGACATGCCGTCAACAGCTTCTTTAACCCGGTACACACATGGATCAGAGACACAGAGAGAAGCTCCCTTCTCTCAGACTCAGTTCAGGCCACATGACCTTCAGGGGCCCACAAATAAAACTTCCCCAAACTTTTGCTGGGGCCTGGCACTCAGGCCTGAACGAAGAGCACTGTCTCCTGTGGGCACCTCAGAAACAGCAGTAAAACCGGATAAATCTGACGTTAACTAAAAGTCTGACTCCAAATGGGTATTTCTATATTTTTAAAAAAAGGAAAACACCCAGCTACCCAGAGACAGAAAACAGTCATTGCTTTATTTGGAGAGAATAAGAGTTGTTATTTTTCTCTCCGTTTTGTTGGAAGGGTGCTTCCAAAGAAAACAAAACACACAAACAAAGCATCCGCCCATTTCCCTTGCCTAAAGAATTACAGCAACAAGCAAGCACGCTCGCTGTATGGCGTTTAGCCTATTTACACTAATTAAAATAAAAAGGGTGGTAGTGATAGGGTTATAAAATTCAGACATGAGGGAAACTACTTCCTTTACTGGCGCATCTCTTCACTCTCATATTTGCAGTGTACACACACACACACTTCCTCCCTGGCTCCCCCTTCCCGGACCTCACCTGATTGATAACGTAGATGCCGTAGTCCAGCTGCTGACGCTGCAGGATCGGGTGCAGGTAATGCAGCCAGTACCTGAGGTGTTCCTGCCGGTTGCGGAAGGGGATGATGATGGCCACCTTGTGGGGAGAGACGCAGTCCTTGGGGGCGTAGCGACCACCCTCCTTCACGTCGGGGTTCTGTTTCGCCACAAGCGCCAAGTCCACAGGTATGCTGAACTCGATCTGCATGGGGCCGACTGCAGGGGCGGAGGAGGGAGAGGTTAGCAGGCTGTGGGACTCGCTGCGTCCCAGGGGGTGCCAGGCGGCCAGGCCGCAGGACACAGCTCTTCCAGAGAGGCAGTGCGGCCATGGAAAAGGCCTTCGTGCCCGGCGCTAGGGACCATGTCCGGCACAAGGGTGACCAACCATCCCAGGACACTCGTTGTGCAGGGCAAAACCTGGATGGCGGGTCACCCCGCGGAGCACTCGCCTATGCAGGCCACACCCCCTTCAGGCTCCGCGTTTCTCAACTGTGAAGTGGAAATGGGGCCATTTCTGCTCTGACTTCCTGGCAGGCGGCTGCAAGGATCAGAAAGCATGGAGGAGGAAGCACTTTCTCAGAAATCCTCAGGTTGAGACACAGCCCTGCCACCTCCCCGCTCGTGTGGCTTTGGACAGGTTCTCTCTGAACTTAGCCTAGCTGAGGAAACGCGTGTGTGTGTGTGTGTGTGTGTGTGTGTGTGTGGAGAGGTCAGTGGTGAGGAAAGCAGAAGGTAGCAGGGAGTGGCACGCGTAGCCCATGTCTCAGGGGTTGATGCACAGATGAAACGGGAAGGCCTGGAGGAAATGAGACCCCAGAGGAGGCTGAGGGGGCAAGGGGAGAAGAAAGCGGTAGGGAAGAACATCAAAGAAGAACGCTTAGGAGAGGTAAGAGGCGGATGAAGAAGGGAGGGAATCCGGTCAGGGACGACCGCAAAGGTTCTGGCCTAGAAGAACGTGGCTCCAGATGAGAGAAATTAGTTAGTAGGAGAGCGCTTTGGCTTAGATGAAAAACGGATGAGATATGGATGGATGGTGGGTTTTTAATTAGTGGCAAGTTAGAAGCAGAGGGAAAGGCCAAGGCCGAGACCCAGATACAGACACGGAAGCTCTTATCTCCTAAACAGAAACAGGTGGCGCTACGAGAGGGCTGCAGGGGACTGTCCCTCATGCGGAACAGATGGTGAGGGCAGGAGAAAGGTGAATGGCCCAGGGACACTCAGGGAATTGGGGACTGAGTTGTGACTTGAACCCAGGCCCCCAGTATTCTCTGTAGGACAAACTTTCTCAAAGAGGGTTCCAAGAAACACTCATCCTAGCAGGATGCTTAACAGAAGAACACATTCCCCTGGTCAAATGAGGGCAGGAACCCTGCCTACTAACTCCTGCTTCTGGGAAGTCAGGACGTACACCAAAGGCTCTGAGAAGCTGTGCAATCATAAAACCTGCTTCACTTTATTCAACTCACCATCTCCCCAATTCACCGGGCCACAGAACCATCTTATCAGGGGACGCAGTTTGAGAACGGACACTCTAGTGCAGTGGTTGGCAAACTCATTAGTCAATAGAGCGGCAAACCGCGGCTCACGAGCTGGGGTTTGCTGGCCACTGCTCCAGTGGAGCCAGCTTCCCCTGTGAAGCACGCTCGTCATAAGCACAAAGGAGCAGAGGTGAGAACGCTGACCACAAACTCAGAGCAAGTGCACCTGAAACACGCCAGTGAGAAGCAGTGAGCACACTCTGTCACCTTGTTTGTCAATAGCATGTGGCTCTCGGAGCACCCTGTCCCCAGAGATCACTCACCCTCCCGGAAGGAGACAGCGGGGGGGAAAAAGGCAGCTGTGACTCTTGCTCCTCCTGCCTGTCCACAGGTGCGAACTCGCCATCTCCTCTCCCTCTCCCCTCCCCTGCACCTCCGGTACACCCCTCCCGGTCCCTCCCTCCAGTGCTGACCCAGCTCCAGCACCACCGGACCCGGGACCCGTTCCCATTCGTTTTCCTGAGACACAGCTCTGATCGTTACCTTCCCCCTAAAAACCTCCCGTGGCTCTAAGGCCGTGTCGCCTCGGACAAGGCAAGGCCAAACCTCTTAGCTTGGCAGCAAGGCCCTTCAGTCTCAGCTCTGCCTCCCTCCCCATTCTTATAAACCAGGCCTATGACTGCACTTTCCTCTTTGCCAGAAATGCCCTTCTCTTCTTCCTCTGATGGCAAACGTGGCATGGAGAGACAGGCCAGAATCTTAAGAGCAGAGTCCCGGTCTTGCCTGGTTCTTTTCCTTTCCTCGTTACCAGAGCTCAGACAGCAGATCCCCTGGGTGCCAAAGCCCTGTTGCCTCCTGGGCCGTGCACCTCCCTCTCCGGAGGGGCAGGGGCCTCACAGATCCGCCCCTCCCTGGGCTGCTGGCTGACCAGCTTCCATAACCTAGGGTGCCCTCAGGTGAGTATTGGCTTTATACTCTAGGACCATGGTTGGCAAACCGCACGAGCCACATGCGGCTCTTTGGTTCCTTGACTGTGGCTCTTCCACAAAATACCTTGGCCCGGGCGAGTCTATTTTGAAGAAGTGACTATAGAAGAAATTTAAGTTTAAAAAATGTGGCTCTCTAGCCAAAACCGGTTTGGCTCAGTGGATAGAGCGTCAGCCTGCGAACTGAAAGGTCCCAGGTTCGGTTCCGGTCAAGGGCATGTACCTTGGTTGCAGGCACATCCCCAGTAGGGATGTGCAGGAGGCAGCTGATGGATGTTTCTCTCTCATCGATGTTCCTAACTCTCTATCCCTCTCTCTTCCTCTCTGTAAAAAAAAAAATTTAATAAAATATATATTTTTTAAATGTGGCTCTCAAAAGAAATTTCAATCATTGTACTGCTGATATTTGGCTCTGTTGACGAATGAGTTTGCTGACCATGGCTCTAGGACTAAGTAAGGGGATGCCTGGACCAGTTTTTCCCAAACCTATCATCAGAATCACCTGAGGCAATGTGTAAACAACATGGACTCTCAGGCCCGTCCCTGGAGAGCCTGAGCTGGGCAGTCCTCGGGAAGGACCGGGGTGGATAATTAACGAGGAGCCTAGGCGATTCTGCCCTGTTTTTGTTGTTGCTAATCCTCACCCGAGGATACTTTTCCATTGCTTTTTAGAGAGAATGGAAGGAGGAGGGGAGGGGGAGAGAGAGACAGACAGACACACACTGACTGATGTGACAGAGACACCTCGACTGGTTGCCTCCCACAACCCAGGTACATGTCCCTAACCAGGAAATGAACCTGGGACCCTTCAGTCTGCAGGCCAATGCTCTATCCACTGAGCCAAACCAGCTAGGTGACTCTGTCTGGGCAAGTTGGGCAATGGAAAGAGGAACTTCCCACCTTCACAAGTCTTGGGCTTGTAAGGTAAGGAGGGTCCTCAGCGTCTCCTAAACTCACAGGTCACAGAGGCAGCCCTTCCCAACGGGGTCCAGCAGGCCTCGCTGCCCGGCCCCGGGCAGTCTTCTGGGAGGCCCTGCTGCACACTGCCCTTGTGAAAAACACGAAAAAGATCTGTCACTGGGCTCTTCTCACTTCAGAGGGCCCCGCAACATCTGCAACACCCCAGCCTGCCATACCTTCGCTTCTCAAGATGCTTCTAAACATAACCCCCTTTCCCGGAACCCCAGAGGCAACTGGACTGTCGCCCTACCAACTTGCGCATTCTTTCAGAAACCAGCCCAGAAAACAGGAATCCACACTGGGCCTGCCCAGCCTCCTGAAGCAGACACCTGCAGGCTGGTCCTAGTTTTGCCCCTTCAGGAGTTCCAGAAAGGGGGTCCTGAGGTTTCCTGGAGAGGAGAGAGGATGCCTGGGCCCTGGTTTAGCTCCATCAGTGACTTGCTGGATAATTTATCTTTGGGCAAGCAGCGTCTGCACTCTGGTTTCCCCTTCGTAAATTGCAAGGACCACAACTCAGCCTGATCCAGAAAACCTCCACCCCCACTGGCTCCTCCAAGGGCTCATGTAGAGCTTTAACACTGAACCGCCTCTTCTCACTCCCCCACTCCTCTATGCCCCCTTCTCACAACCCCCAGCATGTCTCCAACACATGGAAGACACACTAACGCCCAGACCCTGCCTTGCCTGCCCAATCTGGCAATTCTTCCCCCACCTTCTCTCTGTGAAGCCTCCACAGCTCTGAGAACCCTGCAGATCTCACCTGAGAGTGGACAGCACTTGGCCGTCAGTGGCAGCCCCGGGCCTTGGGTCCAGTACCAGCCAGGAGGCCCCCAGGAGTGTCCGGCACATCTCCTGCCACCCACAGGGGCAGTCCTCTGCTGCACCCCTGGCTTCTGTCCCGGTGAGGAAATTCACAGAGCTCAGACTCCAGGAGGGCAGTGACCAGCCCTGCCCAGAACCTTGCGGACCTGGGGCCAGGTCTCAGAGCCACGGCCGGAGGCCTCAGGAAGAGGCGAGGGGAAGAAACCAGGGGCTGAAGCTTCGTGACAGTGCTCATGCTAAGCCAAGGCTCCCTTGCTGTGAGGCGCACGGCGTGTGCTACCACAGGCCCTCGGCCCCGCTGGGCTGGCTTGTGTGTTTTCTTGGCTCTGGGAGCTGGGAAGCAGGGTTACGTAAGCAGATGAGCAGATGTGAGCCTGTCCTCGGCTCCCCCAGCTAAAGCCCTGCCACGTGGGCTTCTCAGTTGGGAGTCCAGGTCATGGCCTTGCGTGTAAGTCACTCAATAACTTCAATGTGTGAGCTCAACTCAGACAAATTCCACTGCTCCCTTGCTCGGCCCAGCAAGCCCTGCTAATCTAGCGTCAACCCAGCGTAGACTCCTGGCCTCCCTTTCACATTTGCTAAACCACCAGAGTTCCTCAAGGTCCTTAGGCCAATCAGTCCCCGCTCCAGATGCCCAAAATACCCTTAACACAGCACTGAGCCCTGCAGGATGAGGGCACCCTGCCTGTCCCCTCTCCTCTGTGAGGGCAGGGGTTGTATGTCATGCCATTCCTTTTTACTGGTATACTTGGGACAGTCACTGGCAGCGCAGCATGCACAAACATGTGTTTATCCACACAGCACAAGTTCAACTCCAAGTTAAGAAGCAGAGCTAACAGAGCAGGGGACCTTCTTGCCTTTAATGTTTGAGAACCTAGATGGTCCTAATACACATGTACAACCAAGGCAACCAAGGGCAAAAACACTCCCCTGTTCTGTGTTTTTAAGACGCCTCTGGTTCCAGGAATAG